CCAGAGAGGCGCCCAGGGGACACCCCAGACTCTGGTATCACAGTTAGCAAGAGATGCTCAAAGCTGGCAGGCGGACACCACGGGGTTTGCAATCCTGAGAAACTCTCCTGAAGTCACAGGGCCCTGAGGACTGCATGGGCGAGGGGAGACAGTGGGGGTTTAGGGAGGCTCTGCACCTCTGCAGCTGTCCCGGTGCCAGGTGTGCAGGTGCACGTGTCAGTGGGTGTGGTCTGTGTGCTGCGGACCTGTGAACACCAGTGTACCTTTGGGTGTGGGTGGCAGGACACCGGCCTGCTCTAACACTGCCCTCGTCTCTACTCTGTAGCAGGTGAACCGGCAGATCCAGGTGAAGCCTCGGACAGTGAGAGCCGAGGAGGTAGTAGCTGCCTGCGCCAGCCCCCTTCACGTGAGGGCCCACTTGTCTCTGCCCCTCCCCCTCCGCCTCCCCCCTCTCTCCCTCCTCTGATGCAGAGATGCAGCGACTCCCTGCCACTCCTCCTGCCCCCTGGGGACCTTGTGGCTGGGGGTTGGGACAGGGATTTGGAGCTTTGGGTGACTGGGGTGGGGACACAGTGAAGAAGAGGGGAGAGAATTGGGGTCTGCCAGAGGGTGGGGTTCCTTTTTTCCATGAATTAATGAGTAGTATGTCCTGGGCACTCCTCTGCCCTCTTTAGGACACCCCAAAGAGTGTGCCCACCTCCATGTCACCAGGGAAAACCCCACTTGATGGAGCAGTAGAAAGGGTGCCAGGCCAGGAGGAAAGAAATGGGTTGCAGCCCTTCCCTGGGAAGGCTCAGGTCAAGGAAGGGCTGCCCATCCGGGCCGGGGACCGCTGAGGTCAAGATCCTGGAGCTACATACAGGCAGACAGGGAGGTGTCTGGAAGGGGACGGAGCAGGACGACATAGCCTCACCCGCAAACTCAGGCCCTTGACCTGAGGGGACTGGAGTGTGGCCACAGGTGGCCAGCCTGCCCCTGGGACCTATGGTCCCTCCAGCTCAGGCCACTGCCCTCTGGACCATAGCAGGGCCTTGACCTGGGCACAAGGCCTCTATGGTTCTGGGGCCCTCCTGACCCAGGCTTGAATGCCACTCGCCAGAGCTAGTGTCCTGGTGCCATCTGATGGAGCCTCACCCCCCGGGGCACAGGCATGCCTCCCTGTGGCCCTTTGAGAGTTTCCCATCATGAGGACAACAGAGGTGGCTCAGTTGAAGAGTGAAACAGTTCGATGTGAAGGGCTCATGCTGTGTGCTCCTGCCCCTTTCCTGGCTATCTAGTTACTCAGTTTCTCTGCTCACAGGCTCCTCAAAATCCCACGGCCGGGGAACCCCTGCCCTGGTAGGGAGAGGAGTGGAGTCCAGCCTTATGCAGGCTTCCCCTCGGTGGCATGGGACAGAGGCAGGGCCTCTCCTGGAGACTGTGTCCGGGAAGCAGGCTGAGCAGGACTTGGGGCCCTGGTCACCCCATCATGCCATGACTCACT